TTTGTCACCCATCTTTCCTCCAGCTTTGTCACCCACCCTTTCCAGGCTCCTTCCTCAGGCTGCCCATAGCCCCTCCACCTCAATTGCTTCTGGCTGTGTCTCCCCAGATCAGCCTGATCTCTGTCAGTGCTCCAGATCCCACAGTTCCTGTACTACATGTCCTGGCCACCCTTCACTCCCCCCAGTCAGTGTCTTCTCCCTGTCTCAGATCCTGGAGGCTTGTCCCAGTAWAACCCATTTTATTCCCATCTGGTCYTCCCCACTCTGCAYTGCAGGTAAATGTCTTTTCTTCCCCAAGCTGCTTGGGCAACGGGCAAAGGCATCAGAACAGCACAGAAATATCAGGCTTCCTGCCTCCAGGTGGGAATTAAATGGGCAAACTCGTCCATCCTGGGAATAAACCCATGCTGCCACCCTCAGCCAAACCTAGAAGATTAAAGGAAGAACCCTCACACCTATTGAGAGTGGGGGCAGTTTGGGGGCCATCACAGTGGCCTTCAGTTGATGTAATGACATGGAGATATGGTGCTCCATTTTAGCTTCTCATGGTTGACTATCTTTCAAACAAAAGTACTGCTCTGTAGTGGAAATGCTTCATTTTAGTGTTTGTGTGAGGAAACTCACTAAAGCAAAGCCCTCTTAAGACAGCCAGATTTGTATGCTTGGGAACAGCAACAGATGAACCGTGGAGAAATGTGCAACCTTGGGTCATTTCCTGATGGGAGATGAGARAGACCATAAAACATGGCAGCTGCAGTCCTGCATTCTTAATAACCATAATTAACTTCAACTGACCTTCTGATGGACAGAAAAGATTGCACTGAAGCTTTCCATCATTTCACAGAGTGAAGAAAACACAAGATAAAGCCATTTGTTCCTTTTCCATGCTTCTGGCAAGGTTGAGCTCAGTAAAATAAAGGTAGAAGGAAATAGGCTGGAGCTGGGAAGGCTAAGTACAGGAGGAAGAAAAAAAGTTGTGGCTAAAAAGTTCGACCAAGGTTGGGACAACGTAAATGAAGAGAAAGAGAGGAGAGACTTTTTTTGGAACATACTGGACTCCATCTGAAAAAATACCAGCTATTTCTCCACCATAGCAGCCTTTTGGAGCATTTTTTGCAAAAGAAAAAACATTCCAACAGGCACATTCTTTTCTGTCCTTAGAAATCTGACCACTGGTAGAGCCAACAAGACAACCTCTCTCTTACAGWGTATTACAAAACTTTCTCCTGGCTGCCAAACATTCACCATTTATTTGTACTGAAATTTTCCATTCTTGCTTTCCGTCTCAGACATGTATTTCCTTTTAAAYTCTTAAAGAAATAACATCCTTGTGTTCTGAAAGGGACTTGGGAAAAGAATAGTTTTAACAGTGCAGATTTGTTTTTTCAGCCATTCCAGAAAGGGGTAGAAATTCAAGGAGCTGAAGCATGAACTTTATATGACAGAGAGGTCACAATCTCTTTATTTTCTTTTTCAGATCCTTGGCTGACCTTATCAGACCCCTCAGGAAACTGTTTGAATTTACCAGCACAAATACCATTCTCTCTGGGCTACAACTAACTGATTCCTGTGGCCAACTGGTAGAAACAACCTTGGCTGAAAACTGTTTTCTGATTCCTTTGATTTTACAGAGCTCACACTCCTAAATCTTGGCAGCCTGGTACATTCCTTAAGATAAAAAAAAAGAAAAAAAAAAGCTCTCCCCCCACCCTTTCATGACTTTCCTTTTTCTTGCAGTGTTGTAGCAAGACTGAAATGTGGCAGGATACATAAGTCAAGAAAAGAAAACTTTTTGTAACATAGYCTTCTAAAAACCTGTTCATATTTTGGGCTTAAGTACAAAATGTCACAAATTTCCATTTCCCATCTGTAACTGGCATAGCACAGCTTGCGGTTCTGGCCACTTGCCACAACTCCATGACAGTTTTATTGCCATGTATGAGTTCTGGCCCCWTGTCCTGTCACTCTCCAGAGAACTTTTGTCCAGCTGATCTATTGCCAGCTGAGAAGATGTGGCCAAATATGATACAGGAAAACTCTTTGATTACTGATGTCTAGGTGCATATATATTTCTCACTCAAATAAAGTGTTGGATTACTAGAACACTGACCCATAGTATCCTTGCAGCCAGCACAAGGTGGTATGGACTGGATAAGTAGACYATGAAGTGAGTAAAAAACAGGCTGGACAGGTGAACTCAAAGTGCAGAGGTCAACATTCCAAAGTCTAAYGCGAAAATGGGAAGCCACTTAGGGGTAACATTCCTCAAGGGATCAATACCATTTATTTAACATCCTCATCTACAGGAGGAAAAGGAAGCAGAGAACACCTTGAAAAATTCACAAACTTGGAGTAGTGGTGAGTGTGCTGGAGTGCAGCACAAGTTTCAGGGAAGAATTTCTTGATCTCACTKAACAGTTAATATTTCTCAATGCCCTAAAATGTTTAAATTACAAACTTTTGAAAACAACAAAAGCCCCATGAGATGCTGGTATTTTTGATGAGCCTGGAACTTTTGGATGAGCCTGGACTGACTTGTCTTTTGCAAATGCAAAATGTGATGTTGATGCCAAGACGTTGACGTATTGAATGCAACATTGGTTAGTCCACCTTGAAAATTAACGCTCTTTTCTCCTCCCTGCATGCTCTGGCTGGAGAATGAGATTGAACTGTCTTGCTGTCCATCTTTCTTCCATTGAAAAATTGTATTTTTTTTTATGATGAGCCAAAATTCAGGTGACAGTTGGGACCAATGCAAAATATCTTTTGGTATTCAAAGGGAAGATAAAAATATTACTTCTTCTGGCACCTGTTGTAGATGACGAGCTATTCTTACTTCAGTGTTTGTCCCCTCGTGGAAGTGTGGGAAATTCARGGGCTTCATGMTGRGCTTTTAGAGAAACAGAGGAGTTGRCCAAGTTTTTCTTTYRTCTTTTAGTCTGTGGTTCTAGCTRGGTCACATTTTCCATTYTTTTAGTCTGAAACYRCAAGTTTCTTCTKTAAATTAATGMATGTAAAAATTCATAGAATCATTTAGGTTGGAAAAGACAATTAAGACCATGGAGTCCAACTGTAAATCTACCACTGYCAKGTCCCACTRAACCATGTACCTAAACTGCAGTAGTCAATACACAACCGACCAAAGTCTTGCACACACCTGTACTCAAACAAGAGGAAATGGGATCCCAGAATCTCTTCCTGAATGTGTCTTAAAATTCTCCTCCCCATTTTACATGCCATATACAAATGGGAAAAGCTCAGAGCATGATAAATGTTGTTGCCATTTGATTCAAATAAGGAGAACTGGAGGAGCTAGTGGACAAAAGAGGAAGAGCTCGACATTGTATTTGAATTCTACTGTGTCATTATCACACAGACAGCTCTTGATATCCTAAGGACTTCTCCAGGACCCTTTTACCCCACTGTTTTTACCTGATGAACTGCAGGCATCACTGTGTACTGTGTGAATGCTGCTTCTGTGGGATTCAACACAGCGCCATAAAATTTGTTGGGTAATGGTGTAGCTAAACAAAACCTTCCCTATGACAGTAATTCCCAATAAGTGTGGTATCTCTTCTAGAGAGTAATCAATTGTCAGCTTCTGCCAACAACACAAATTTCGATTCATCTCTTGCAGTACCATTTCTGTTTGAGCAGCAATGTCCGTATTTCTTTCTACCTGTGGTTTCACACTGTGTCAAAACCTTATGCTTCCTTTTTTTTTTTTTAATAAAGCATTATAGCAAAATGCCCTTTACCGATCTTTTTTTTTTCCCAGATCCATTTTGCTAAGAATATGTTTCTCCTTATGTTTCATCCTTAGTCTTTTCTCTGCAGACAATGTTTTGCTCATTCCAAAAGTTTGCAATAGCCAAGGGAGCTTGTTATTCTTGTGCAGGTCACTCTGCTCTCTTTGCTTCCTTTTAAAACACATCCCACACTCTGCTTTTCTTGCTATTTCTGGTAACTTAAATGTAGGCACTGTTAAGAGTTGGATATCGGTTTGGATTCCTTCCTCAAACTCTCCTTTTTTTTTTTTTCATTTCCTGTACGAAATTTCAAGGAATATACACCAGAAGAACTTACCTTTCCCTGATKATATTTTCCTTTTCAATTTGAATCKTTCTAGTTTTAGAGTTACATGTGAATKATTTGGTTGCACAGGAGCATGAGGCTTGTGAAGAACATCTCCTAAGAGACCATGAATTTCTTGCAATGTTAACCTGTGGGCCAGTGTGGTGCCAGAKAAAACTCTGACAACCAGACAATGGCAAACAAGTGCTTTTCCAGGAAYATAGTTTTGCAGCATTGGCTTCAGTTCATCCATACATTACTRCTTTAATTGTCTGAAGTGGTATTTTCCTTTCTTTTGCTGATTTACCCTGATTTCAAAGCAACTGCTTTGGAGGTCTTGTTCAAGATTTTCTTGCCGCTATACTTTCTTAGTCTTCCTCATTTATATCCTTCCCCAGTTCATGAGCCATGCATTTATGCTGCTGTTGGTATAAATCTTGATAGGTATGTCAATACTCCTTGTGCAGTTGCTGACTTTGAGAGGGAAGTTGCTGTTCATTAGCTGCTTTCTTTACTTTGAATCAAATCTGATGTCTCCTCTTTCTGCAGCATAGACAAAATAATTCAGTTCCTTTGCATGGATTTGCATTTTGCTGTGATTCAATTTTCTGCTTCTCATAGGTAATGCTGTTAGTTTTGGAGGGTTTTGTCATGCTTTTTTTCTGGGTCTGTCATTCATAAGAATGTCATCAAAAGTGACTCCCGCCTTTCATCAGCTTCGTGTTATTTCAAGAATCTTTTGGGAAATATCTCCAGCACAGGCAGCATTTTAAGAGGCACACAATTAAAATGCTGTCCTCTTAAAGTCTTTAATATTCTGCTTTCTTGGTCCATCCTGAACTGCCTGTGCCTAGATGGAACATTTAGTACCTGTAGTATATTTAGTGTAGAAAGCAGATAGGTGATCTCATCTCGGGTGTGCAAAGTGCTTTCTTTCTGTCTCAATAGGCTTTGCAGCTACAAATTATAATGACATTTCTCTCTTTCCCTGTGATTATTGTGAAAAATCATTCCAGTGCTTTTTCCAGTTGCTCAATTGTCTTTAGCTGCAGCACAGCCTCTGSTCCCCAGCCCTTTCTGAGTCTTGYTGGCAGTGGATGCCAGAGCATGTATTCATAACTTTAGGCAGTGGCTGCTCTCTTGCAGGGAGGGGTTGTGTTTGAATCCCAAGGGAGCCTGGGATGTCATCCTCAATGATTCCAGCCGATTCAATTCTCCCACAGCAGAGGAGAAATCATCCATCATTCTCTGCTGCAGCACAGTTCCATTGCTGGACSAGTGCCCCAGCCCAGCCTGGCAGGCACAATGAAACCACAGCAGGGAGCAGCAACGCCCAAAGTGAACAGGGGAGCTGGAGGTTCAGACTCCTCAGCAAATTGAGAGCCCGTGGCAGGGTCAGGGTTCCCATCAGCAAGGTACCAGAGGGGCAGGAACACGGCCACAGTGCAACTCAGGCAGGAGCMAAGTGTGAGAGAGCTGGGACTTAAAGCAGTTCCCAGGATAAGGAGGGAGGGTTTCCCATAAAAACATTTCAGCAGAGTTTCACAGGGAATCCTCCACAAACACTTCCAGCTCTTCTTTCCTCACCAGCTTTGACCAGCTAGCTGGTCTGAAGCTGCCAACCAAAATCCTGGAAGAGGGAGACAAAGTGGTATTTAGGGCCCTGACAAACTCTCTATCCCATGTATTTAAATTCCAGGAAAGCACTTGAAAAAAAAAAAAAAAATTCTCTTCTGTCAGGCAGACTTTAAATTTTTTTAATCAAATTTTTTAAAATCAAATTTAAGGGACTTAAAGGTTTTTGTCCCATRACCAGTTTTCCTGGCATTTTCCCATCACAGCACTGGAGATATTTGACATCTTGATGTATATGTGTCTGAAACACTGCATTTCCCTGCTGTGCCAAATGCAGGTCTCTGCATCCTGCCAGCCTCACAGTARTGTTCACGGGATGGCTCAGGCTGTGCTTGTGCTTTACTCTGTCCTAGGGTGATGATTGGCCTGTAGACCCATGAGAAGATCCAGCTTCACTGGTATGCCTCCTGGGCCCTGTGATCAGAATTAGAGATGCCTCAGAACTTTTTTTCACACAATCATGGAATACGCTAAGTTGGAAGTTTTTCTGTTTTCCTTGTCTCTCCAATTTATGAGGTACCCTCACCCCAACTCTTCTTCTGGATGATGCCTGTGCTCTCTGAGTTCCCTCTGTCTAATTTCTAAATGGGTCTTCATTGCTAATTTTCCTTGTGCCTCTTTCTGATTTGACCCTGTTAAAAYCTTTGCTTTCAGTACACTATTCCTTCCTGCCAAAGAAGAATTTTCCTTATAGCCTCAATTCTCCTTCACCACTGGGCTCTTCCTGCCTAGTCTGGCTTTTTTCCTTGATAATTAGTGTTTGTTCAGAAATGGTTTTCTTCGGTTTTGTCTCTTTGTTCACTTGCCCTGAGTTCCTCACCAGTCACCACAAAGCATTCMGTTCCAGCCCACCTTTTTTGAGGTCTTTCCAGAAGCCCTCCATGACCCTGCTGTCCTCTGCTCCTTCCCTCATGCCCCACTCTCCTCTTATGCCATACTTGCATTTCTGCCCACATCAAGCAGGGAATCAACATCTTATCAGCTCCTTCTCAGAGGACGTTTAAGTGTGGGTTGCCAGAAACTGAAACCTTCCTGCTCCTGCACTTCCCCATCAATGCATGGCTGGGCAGTCACTCAGATCAGCACACTCACCCCACAGACATTTTCCTGGGGTAGTTTCCAGCCAAATAACTCAGCTCATCTGATTCAGATCATTCAGAACCTCATGCCAGGTCCAGGTTGATAAGAGGCAGCCAGAAGCCTCCAGGAGGGCAGAAGAAATGCAGGACAGCCCCTCTTGTCAGCACTGCAGCATCAGGATAGCTAAACAGGACCATGCATCATGCCTTGGGACAAATCAGTGACAAGGAGATGCTATTTGGCTTCTTTGAGCAGCCTGGTAACTATCACAGGTCTTTCACCTTGCAGGAAGAGGTTTAGACATTTTTTTTCTAAGTAACACTCTCAGGGGACCAGAAAACGATGCAGGAAGTAGTTTAGACATTTTTTTTCTAAGTAACACTCTCAGGGGACCAGAAAATGATGCCATATAGAGGTAATTATGCTGAAAACACAATCAGAAGAAAAAATGGGTGCACTGGCTCTGCAGGCATGAAGTCCAGTGTCAGCAATAGCAACACAGACCCTGAGCCACAATAAAAGTAAAAAATAACAGCAGCAATAAGGACTGCTTTTCTTTTGTTAATCTGGGGAGGCTGCCTTCGTATGGGTATAAAATGGGTGCAAAGTCAGAGCAAAATGAAGAATATGGCTCTTACTCCATATAGGAAAGGCTGTTCAAGAACTTCCTAAAATCAGAGGAAAGCCATTGTGTTGCTTGGCACGTGCCCAAAGTGATTTCATCTTCTGTTCAGGATTAAGATGCATTAATAGCCTGAGGGCAGCAGTTTCCTTGCCAAAAAATGCCTTTCTTCCCCCACCACCTCCTGGCTTGTTTTAAATATGAGGGCTCGCAGGTCAGGAGTGAACACTCAGCGAGTATTACTTGAATTATCAAATGAAAGTGCTGCAATATCATTTTCTTTCAAGCAAACACTGATTTAATTAAAACATGCACTCTGAACTTGGCAAATTTCACATTATTCATGAGAAAGGTATGGGTCTTTCTATTGCAAAGGCAAGCTAAAAATAATCAGAAATATAGAACCAGAAGGGCAGCTGTTAAGASTAAGGCACTAGAACTTTTTCTGGCAAACCTCTATCTCCAAGAGTGTMATTTATCCTCAGACTATTCTTTACTCCCAGCTAATACAGCAAGCAAAGCTGGCAAAAGCCTTCATGTAAATTTGATTATGCAGGCCACAAAATTGTTTTGGTCAGAAAGCTCTGCTTTCTTTGGGGAGCAGCATAACATGTATGGGTCGGAGCACTCCTGCTGACCAAATTGTGCCCCAGGAGGGAGTAAGACAGGTAAAGCCAGGTGAAGGCAGCATTCAAAAGCATCAGCTAGAAATGTTTAGAGGCCTCTTAATGTCTCAGAGGCCCAGTGCAGCAAATGAGGGCTACTATGCTTCTGTCATCATCTTGTACACTCTTGTTCTTCCACTGAGTGGCTTTTTCCTTAGCAGGGCTATGACAGCAGGAGGCACATGTGCTATCACCTACATCTCTGTACCACTGTGGGTACCTGCAGGTTTCCCTTTGGGTTTCAACAGGGAATTGAGGACACAGMCAGCCAGAATGTGCAATGGGACTGCAAAGATGTGAGGCAAAAAAACTGGAGTGCTCAGTACCACCAGTGATGATGCAGAGCAAAAGGGGCAGCAATTTCCATGCTGACAGAACCAAAGCATTTTTACCTTAAGGTTTTGTTCAAAGGACACTGAAAAGGGAGGTGGAGAAAAAGAATTTATCTTAAATGCCACGTTAATAAAAGTCTGTACACAGATCAAAGGGAGGACTTACCCTTTCTCCTCCTTCCAAACTCCTTTCTATAGCTTTCCTCTTAGAGTGGAGATYAACTAATCAGTGCAGTGACATCCCAATATAAAATTTGCCTTCTCTCCACTGCACCTGTCATTCTCTGGCAGGTTGATCTGAAACCACAAAGTCATGTTAGTYATCTGAAAATTCCTAAGCAAGATGTTTTCTTCCTTACCTGTGTAAATGTGGGTCAATCTCATCTCTCTCAATACACTCATTTGATAGCTGATGGAAGCCAAATAGCCATCTGAAAAGTATGTGGGCAGTGAAGGTTGGCCAGTTTGCAGTGCATCCAAGCCAGTTCAAGAGCAAAAGTCTTCTTGTGAGATGACATGGTCTATTTGCTTAAATTATACCCTTAACCTAGCTTGGAAGAACTGGAGAAATAGTTAGATACTTAGAGAAGATCTGGAATGTGAAGGCGAGGTGTTCATAGCAAATCTTTGATGAATTATTTTGTCTAGATTTATGTTAAAGAAAAAAAATGTATTGCCTACCAGTAACTCTGGGAATGGTAGTTACTTATGCCTAGCTAGGGAAATAGGCTGATTTACCAACAAATACATTTCCAATCCTCCATGCAGGTAAAGCAGAAGGGTAAAAATGTTCTGGCAAGTAGATGAAAACTGTCCAGAGTGAAGGCAGGATWGCCAGCAGCACACTGCATCCAGCTCAGAGGCAGTGCCAAAAGACACTGTAGCAGCCCTGGGGGGACAGGGCTGTGTTGCTGCACAAATACTGCACTGCAGAGACAGSCTGGGACAGCAGAAAGTATCTGTGACTTAAGGCTGAGTAAAAGAGCATGGCCAGTGAGGTCAGACATGGCCAGACATCAGGTCTGTACCAAGAGACAGGCAGGGAACCCATTATCATCTTTCAAAACAGAARCTCCAACTTCAAAGTAGAAACAATTTGCAATGGCAAAACATGACTAAGAATAGAGACAGTTGTTATCTCTAAAGGTATCCAGAAGGAGAGGAATTCAAATTGTGCATTGAAATCCCTGAAGGCTCATACCAGGAGSAGATTAGTATAGGTACCCTCACAGAACGAAAATAAAATAGCTCTTCAAATGCTTGCTGAAATAACAGGCAGATAATAGCTCTCTTGGGGCACCCAGGTTTTAAGATGATGCTTATCTTGATTGAGGAAGAACCTGAAGGTATGAATGGGCAGACTGCCATGCTTCTGTGGAGGACACCACATCTGATTCTGACAGCCTGGAAGAGCTGGAGGCAAGGGAGATAACATTGTGGTTGTAGCTACAACCTTGAAACTCAAAAAGTTGGAGTGGCACAGGTGGGGATCAGACCAGTAGACAGTGCCATGGGCAGGATGTGAGGGAAGAAGCCTGTATGAAACCAAACACTAGTCTTTGAAACATCTCATTTCATAGAARACAGAGATAAAGAAAGCTCAGGTAAGGTGTCACCAGTATGTCAGAAATTGGGAGCCAGGATCCTGCTGGGCTGGGTGCTGCCCAGAGGACAGAGCTCCTGCTATGTGTTCTGGCAGGGGGCTGAGAGCTGCATCCACCCTGTGTCAAAGAAGCYTAAGGCAAATGTGTCCATACATTGTGGACGTGTAGCAATTCCATCTCATTTATTGGCAGCTTTGTGCCACTCTTTGAGGTGTGACTCTCCCTTCAGCASCTATCCCAGAGACTTATGAGGGCTAATTTTTTGAAGCAGTATGAGGCTGCCTTAGTTGGATTCACTACTGAAAGCTCTGCAAAGAGCAGATGGGGCCAGAGCAAACATTAGCTCTGCTCAAACAACAGTGAGTCCAAAAACGACAGGCAGGAGAAAGAAAGAGCCTTCTTACAGCAGCAGCTCACCCCTGGCTTTCCTGCTGCCTGCCTTCCTACCACAGCCAGAGGCACCCAGCTTTGGCTCTCAGGTTTACAGGAACCTGGCTGCTCCTTGTCACCAGCCTCTTCTCCAGGCTGTGCTAAGGTTGTAAGAGAGCTGGGACCAGTCAACAGCAAGAACATTTGGTATTCTTGAACACTCTGCTTGAACAGGTTTGCCTGGCTTCATTTTTCTAGCTGGGTGAAGCAGAGCTGGTTTACATAACCTCCATTTTSCCATTTTTCTCAATGAAAAGCTCATCAGCCCCTGTTGCCTTCAAGGTGAATGCTAATCCTATAATCAGCTGCAGATTCAGTTTGTGTTGAAATGTCATCTCTGCAACCGTATCTTGCTCAGACCGTGCAGAGTTTGGTTCATGGAGGTTTGCATCTGTACTAGGGAGGCCAAACCAGTTCCAAAATAAAAGTATCTTCCAAAAACCACCACAAAAGATGCCAGCCAGTGGCACTACAGAGTGAAATGAGACTTGCTGAGAGCTGCTGCATGGCAGGCAGATGAGTCTCCTGCTTTGGCCACAGCATTGCCTCTGTGATGGTGAACCAAGGCCATCACCATCACTGTGCYTCCATGCATGGAAGGGTTGTGCCTCTCTCAGCAGCAGGACTGCCTGGGAGCTGCTGTCCTAACCAAAGCATTGGCCCACTCCAGGCCAGGCTGCATCTCTGTTATTGAATAAAACAGGATGAGAGGTTCAAGGGCTGTGGGGCATGGCATGAGTTATGTCAAGACACCCAAATTCTYCACCAGCACAGGGTGGCTGTGTTCAAACCTCTCTTACCTGTTGGTACACCCACAGACCTGGAGTTGCTGGCAAACACCAGGAAAGGTGCTACCTATATTCATGCAGTAAGTTCTTCAGAGCCTTGAAAGTGAATCCTGGGCTTGATCCCAGACCTGTCCAGGGGGCTCTGATGTGAACAGAAAGCAACACCAGACTCAGGGTTAATCAGYTCATAAGGAAATAAATGGGAAGTGCTCCTCCACAAATTCTTACTCAAATGGTGTCCAGGCCTTTTCTAKGCTGGARCTGACTGGCACAGGTCAAAAAGATKGCCAGGGAGCACAATCATTAASTCATACAGATGTTCAGCTTTGCTAATATAGATGAAGCCTCTCCTAACACAGCTGGCCAAACCTGGTGCACTTTTGGAGAAGTTCTGACTGGTAGSCCAGTTCAATCAGCCAAGGGCAAACCATGCACCTGGAAGCAAGCAATAACAATAAACATGTTTAAAAGAGAACTAACTCAATTTAAAACTTATAATGTAGGGCTCTGTATGTGTCAACCAACTCAGCACAGGGAAGGCATAACAAAATATCCCTGGCTGAGGTGCCATGAGATCTCCTGGAAGCCCAAAGCTCATTTCATTCATTGTTCTGCGTGCAGCAGTAAAACCATGTGCCAAGCACTAGCTGCAAATTGAAGAGTCTAAGCTCCCTCCTGGGTGAGGGAAATGTCTTAGCCTTATGAACAAAGACAATGTTTAACAGTGGAAGCAGGATGGAACATTTGAAATAAGGAGCAACTCCAAAAATATGTCTATTTCTATCAAATTTTGTCTTTCTTCTCACAGTCAGTGCAGGCTATTGAAACAAAAGAAGTGCYTCTGCCATACTGGGCAACACCACTCCTCTCAGGGAGGCAAAGAGCTGCTCATGCAGAGGCAGAGGAAAGGTGGATCTTTAGCAGATTCCCTCACCAACCTCTGCTGATGCATTTTCATCCCTCAGCTCTGCTGAGCCCACTCCTCCAGTACAGAGGCAAGTGCAAAGTGGGAGCTTTTCATTACAAGGCATCTCTCATCTTGGTCTCTGTTTTCTACCAAAGCAAGTGCAGAGCTCTGTACTTGGYATAACTCTTGTTATTGATGCTGAAGGACCATGGAATGTGTCCATAGATAGCTGGAAAATCTTGCATGTAACACTGGTTGCAAAGATATCTCTCCAAGTGGAYCTGTCTGTGCTTGGATAGTATATTTAGGTGCTTACTAGGATTTTCTGTCTTGGAGAGCTCAGGAGARCTTAGATATGTAAGCAATCTTTGAAACAATGGCCTCATTAAGTATCTGGAGGACTCTTCCAAAATCTGCCATCCCGCMTGGACAATGGCACTCTGACTGCAAGGAAATCCTGATTGCAATGAGGGACCCCACCTCATGCGGGATCTGCTTGAATTTCAAGGGCAATACMAGCCTAATCGGATGTCAAATATTTTGGCAGGGATCAGTGCGTACAACTGCTTTGGTGTCCTAGGAGTGGATATTTAAGGTTTTTAACTTCTTCCTTCSCTGTTTTGCCAGCAGAGGGCATGGCTCCCTGCTCTGCTGGGAGACGCATCAGCCTGCAAGAGCAAGGRGATCGCCTGCTGGAGGAGTTTGATGCCCTTTTCCTCCCGCCTACCCTGTACCTACATTTCAGGCTCTTGGCTGGACCTGAAGCCCTGTCTAAGAAGAAACTGCRCTGAGAACTTTAGCAGAGGCAGAAGGGAAGTCAGCCGGCTGTCACTTTGCATGGATTGAGAAAGAATCGGACATGTCTCGATCCTGCACTGAGCCTATTTAGAAGCAGCTCTGCCAACACATCCTGTCTCCTCTTTCAGCTCTGCCTTGTTTGCACTGTGCTACAGGTTTGTAGCCGCTGAGGCGTCAGGCAAAGCCTGGGCACACGAGGATAAGGCTTCCTGCAGCTCTTGAACTGTGGAAAGMAAGCTGGGTACTGAATCAGATGCTCACTCCTCCTTCGCAGCCATTTCAGAAGTACAAGATGCAGAGGGTAACACGACAGTGGCTTTTTCTGCAATGACCCTTCAGTAAACAGCACATTCTAATTTATTTCTTCTCCAACAGCCACTGCCAGCACAGTGTGACAACCAGCATATCCTCTCTTTGATGGGACAATATAAATCTAATCAGAGCAGCCACAGATTTGAACCATTTTTGTTTTATTCCTTTTTTTACCCTAAGTATAAGGTAGCCTAAAATACAGGATGTTAATGACACCTTTGGGACATCAGAGTAAGGCGAGCCCAGGAACACTGACAATAAAACAAAACAGAAACATTGAGTGCATGGTAATTGGCACTAGGCTGAGGCTTAGTCCTACTCAATTTACCGTGACAATTTGGAACAGCCATTGGGAAGCAAAAAAATTTAGCTTGAAGTAAAGCTGTTAACCTTCTCTCTAAGAAAAGCACTTCTAAGCTAGCATGGCCTTTTTGAAGCTGTATGAGGATTCAGGACTAA